TTTTTTTTTTTTTTTACACGGGAGATATGGTCAGAATGAGGCTCTAGAACTCGAACTCGGGGGAAGTGGGAACGCGGGGAGGTGTCGTGGGCACCGTGACTGGGTGATGCCTTCTGCCCACGCCCCTCCTACCAATCACCCCCTCTCTCGGGAATCAGTTTACCGGGTCAATACATCCTAAAGAGAGAAAATATTAACCCTTGGGGTTCAGAGAACCCAGGAAGCCCAGTTTCCAAGGAGAGTTCTGGGGAGGGCCCCTTGGCAGAATTTAATTAAACTCATATTAAGAGATAAATTGACACAAGTGCATCGTGACAACACCTCTCATATGTTAAAATGCATTTGCTGGGTTTCAGAATTTCATGCACTCACAGTGGTTTGGCATGTGTCTGGTGGATTTTTTTTTTTTTTTAAAGAAAAATTAGTGTTGGTTTCGATGTATGGTAGCTTTCTCTCTAAAGTAATTTGAATAATTCAGCAAAGCCCCACTACCAGCTGTACTTCTGCAGCCTCTTCCATTCTTTTCAGCATTATAATTTTGGTTAATTTTCAATTTTAGGTCCTACGTCTCTGCAATTTGTGTATGAATAACAGAATAATTTCCCTCTTTTGTTTCGCCTTTCCTGTTCCTGAATCTAAATAAAGATGGCTTTTTAGTATTAAAAGTGGAAGAAAATTACAGGTAATTATCTTTGACGGTAAAAACGCTGTAATCAGCGGGCTACATGAAAAATTACTCTAATTATGGCTGCATTTAAGAGAATGGAAAAAAACCTTCTTGTGGATAAAAACCTTAAATTGTCCCCAATGTCTGCTTCAAATTGGATGGCACTGCAGCTGGAGGCTTTGTTCAGAATTGATCCTGGGGAGCTACGAACCCAAAGTTTCACAGTAGGAAGGGGGAAAAAAGAAAAGAAAACATTTTTCCTAATGTAACAATGCGAATGCTAGAAAATGACAAGACTGATCGGTTTTAAACCATTCTGAAGACTGACTGAGCGTGGAAGTTGCTCAACAAAAAAAGGAACGGGTATATTGGTAAGTAGTCTTTGCTTTGTGTCTAATTATAGTGACTGTCCTTTTGCTCGACTGTATGTCGCTGTCATTATATGGAGCACTCTGAGTATCTCTATTGACTTCTGATAAATGGCTCAGTGGTTTCAAGGTTCATAATTTGAAGGATGCCCAGGTCTGTAGCCATTAATTCTCGCAGTATGGGGCTTCCTGCTTGTATGACGAAAGGACTTTTCATTTCCATTATTTCTAAGCTTTCCACAAGACCGGAGGAGATATTTCATCCAGGAGCATGCTTTTCCTACCTAGCTAGCTTGCAAAGGGTTGTAACATTAAATAGTCATAATTGTGTTTATTTTCTGTTCTTTTTTCTTACTCTTTCCTCTCTCTTTTTGTTGTTGTTGTTGTTGTTAAAAAATGCTTCCAAAGAAAGAGAAATACAGCTGTATTATTTTAGCTGAGAAAAGGGAAATGAGAACACTCGGTTTCAGCACTAGAAACTACTGGATGTCTAGAGGTTGTCAGGGGATAGATCATTCTTTTTTTAAAATAGAAGAAATTATAATAAAAATATAATAGATCAAGGAAGCTGAGAAAACATCCATGGTTAATATTAAAGTACTTAAGACAAAGGCTAGTGCTTCAAACTGACATCTTTGCAGGCACTTGATGTTTATAGGGGCTTCCCATATTAGGAAGTGGGAATTCTTTCAAGAATCACAGAAAATATACTGAGAGGGAGGGAGCAGGAGGTGATGCGATAGAGACACACAGAGAGAAATATACAGGACACTCCCAGCGTTTTGTGGCTTTTACTCCATATATGAAAGAAGACAAAAACATACAAAGTATATGTACAACTAAAATTCAACAATATATACAGAAATGTTTCTTGATATAAACGTCCCTATTAGCTTAGTGAATGCCACCAATTCACCTAGTAAAGGAATCAAAGCGATGGAACCATGATTTTGGTGGTTTCCTCTGTCTTTCCTGATTCCAGTTCAGGGTTTGGGGGTGGGGCGGGGAAAGAGTGGTTTGGTTTTGTTTTGAAACCATCATTCTCGCTCATTGCGTTTTGCTAAAACATGCAGCGTTCCCTTTGTGGCAACGTTCTACCCTTACAGCCGCTGTTCCCTTTTCCTTTAGAGCACGGCTGTTGTGTGAGGGGTTTTTCTTTCCTTTCTGTTTCTTTTTCTTCTCCTTCTTGTCAGCCTGGGATGGGTAAATAAAAACGTAGGCGTCTGAAATGCTTCTGTTTCATCCTGTAACGTCTTAAGTTCATTAAACAAGTAAAAAACGCTGCCACGTTTGCGCAGATTCTTCTGGTGGGGTGTGTGTGTGTGTGTGGGGGGGATGCCTGTAAAAAAAGTTGTTTTGATGGATACTCCCAAAGAGAAGAAGAGGCTCAGAGCCTGGATCCCAAGGGGTAAGGGAAAATATACTTACAGTGAGGGGTTTCAGGGGCGCTGGCATAGTAACCAGCCTCTCCCTCTCCCTCCCTCCCTCCCTCTCTCTCTCCCTAAGATGCACAATCCATTACTGAGGCAGCTCCAGGAAAAAGGCGGATGGGGAACGAAGGGAAGGAAAAAAGGGAAAGGTGGGAGGAGGGAGGGAAAGAGAGGGAGAGGGGGAGAGAGCGCGCGCGCGATGGTCTCTCCAGACCTAAGAGTCCTCCCGAGCCTGCTCCTCCGGCTCGGCCTGGCAGCTGCAAGCAGGTCCCGCATCCTCCTGGCCTGGTTCCGACGTTTCCCTAGGGTGTCGATTGCCCTCGGACAACTCACATCATCTGTGGTCTCTGCATCGTGTCCTGGTGTGGCGAGGAGTACCAATGCGAATAGCCGGGCATGTAGCTGTTGGGGGGCATAGTGACGCCCTTGGCCGACGCGGAAACGTCCCACACCGGCGGCAGCGCGGGCGAGCGCGGCGACAGGGCCGCGGAGCCCGGGAGCGGGTCGCTCTCGTGCGGGTTACTGCCCTGCTTCAGCAGTTTCTTAAACTTAGAGCGTTTGTTCTGAAACCAGATCTTCACCTGGAACGAAAGGCAGCAGCGATCGTGAGGCTCGAAAACATCCACCCAGGGCCTCAAGTGGAGGCTTTGGGAGCAGTTATTTAAAATAATGAGCATAATGATAAAACCACCCCGCAAACACCAGGCCCTCGGGTCTCCACCTGCCTCCACCTCTTTCTGGCCGCCTCTTCCCCACTTCCCTACACCATCCATTTGCTAAGGTATCTTGTCTGGATACCTAAACTCTTTAGTTGGATGCAAACCTAGGTATAGAGCAATAGCCTAGGTAAGATTAACATAAGAAAGAGGGTGAATGAGACAGCTGGGTTCAAAGTCTAAAGAAGGGTTTTTAAACAGAATTTTTTGGATCAAAGTCAGCTGAATGCACTTTTTCTGATAGGTTTTTTTTTTATTATTATTAATATTTACCAACCCATAAACCTGGCATCTCTATGCATGTACAGTGAGCAAATAACTATGAACAGATTAAAGCCTTACATTTATAACCAAATGCCTCGAATATCCCTATGCATATATTGCACATGCCACAAACTGTGCATGGGGCATCTTTCTCCTTACATAAATATATCCCCATAATCCTGCAGAGATTAGGGATTGTACCTCCCTCATTCCCCACTTTGTATGTTGCTTATGCAAACTGTGGTCAGCAATCATCGCATGATTGTTAGTGCAGTCACTTAAAGTCAAAGGGCCCCTGAAAATTAAATGGGAATCAGGAATCTGGGATGGGAGAATACCTAAGCTAACATACCAGGACTCCTTTATTTGAAGAAGGAAATTCTATGGTGCAGGTTCCTTTACTTTTAAAATTCCTTAGCCATAGGAATCTGCTTTTCCAAGAGGAATACAAGTTACCGAGTAGCAGGAATCCCTTCGTTTCAAGCCCCACATATTTCCAGTGGCAACATGGCAAGAGAAAGTAGGCTGAGTTGAAAAGAAGAGCTTAGGAGCATCTGTTGTTCTAAGGCACCACACGAGAGTCTCATAAAACCTGAAGTCCCCTTGCTGAAGATCACCCACCTCACATGAGGCCTACCACCTCATGCCGCTCAGTTAATCGACAAGGACAGAAACCACAGGTGATTGCAGCCTGGCTTTATGACCAGGGTCTTAATATACCTGCCTAAGCCCCTTTCTGTGAAGTCTGAAAGGCCCCATATGTCTTTCAAATTAGTAGGACAGCAGAACTTCACCAACTGTACTTAACTGAGGCTTCACCTGCTGTAATTTCGGGAGCATTTCTCTTTGATCTCCAACTCTGCCATTGCTCCCAAGTCCTGTGCTCTAGGGAGGTACCTCAGCCTTCACCAGCCAGTCACCCAGGATGATTTAACTATTGAGCTGAGGGCAATCTTCAGAAAAACTCACCTCACCCATCCCAGGATGAATAGTTGGCACCTTGGTCCCTCTACAAAATCCTATTGGAGCCTATGCCTATCTCCCCTCTTCATTTCACTTCATAATTCTTTCTATGTCAACAAGCTGAAATCCTTAAGTCCAAGGGCCCATAAAAGGATCCTTTAAAAAATATATGTGGGTCTTATTCTGCATCCTGGCCTGCACATTTTTTCTTTCTCTTTCATGTTGTTCTGTTTTGAAATAGGACTCGAATAAATGATGAGCTTGGTCACCAAAGGACACTAGACTGGGGTGGGGTCGTCGAGGGTTGGGGAGATGTGCAAATCCAATCCAGTATTCATTTATTCCAAACTGTGCTGTCCCGGGAAAGTTCGTAACTGGAGAAAAGCATTTGTCATTAATCTTCCATCCTTGGTTGACTAGGCCAAGAATTCCTCCTGATGTGCTCCCTGCCCGATCTGCAAGCGGGGTCAGCATTTCAGGGATATTCGGGCTTCTCGGGAATTACCTGTGTTTGTGTCAGTCCTAAGGAAGCTGCCAGTTCAGCTCTCTCGGGAAGGGCCAGGTACTGAGTCTGCTGAAAGCGATGGTTTAAAGCCTGGAGCTGCAGGCTGGAGTAAATGGTCCGAGGCTTCCGAATCTTTTTCCCTTTTCCATTGAACCTGATTTCCCCGTTTTCAATCACTGTGGTTTTTTGTTGATCTGCAAGCAAAGGATACAGAGGAGCGGTCACCCGCGAGGCACCTTCTGCAGTCTCCCTGAGCATGGCCTGGCTTGCGCAGGTTCTCCCCAAAGACCAATAAGGGTTTTCCTCAAAGCGTCCCTACGCTACCCTGACCTCTCGGGTTCACGGTGCCCAGGTGCTCCCAGAGGCTGTAAAAGCTTTTCTGGTCCCTGACTCCGGCACTAACAACACGCGGTGGCTGCACCGAGGGAGCGCCCTCGGCCCTCGGGCAAACAGCCTCGCTT